TTTCTGATGTTAGTTGGTGATTTTCTAATAAATATATAAAAAAATATGTGTTTCATCTGAGATACAACTCAAAATAATATCTAAAAACAAGACCCGATATCTCACTGCAATGTGACTTCTGAAGTTATTGTGTCTCTATCAGGTGCAAAGAAATATTCTGAGTAGTTTTTTGACACTGGCAAGATTTCGAGTTTTTGTAGTTCAGAATCAGAATCAAGGCAAGGCAAGTTTGTTTATATAGCACCTTTCAACACAAGGCAATTCAAAGTGCTTTACAAACATGAAAGATATTAAGAGCATTAAGAAATACTGCAGCAGAAACATATTATAAAAGGTTATAGAGACACTACGTACTGATATACACCTGAACATCAGCAGGAGAGGACTCTTTAAAGTAGAGACACTACATACTGATATACACCTGAACATCAGCAGGAGAGGACTCTTTAAAGTAGAGACACTACATACTGATATACACCTGAACATCAGCAGGAGAGGACTCTTTAAAGAGAGACACTACATACTGATATACACCTGAACATCAGCAGGAGAGGACTCTTTAAAGTAGAGACACTACATACTGATATACACCTGAACATCAGCAGGAGAGGACTCTTTAAAGTAGAGACACTACATACTGATATACACCTGAACATCAGCAGGAGAGGACTCTTTAAAGTAGAGACACTACATACTGATATACACCTGAACATCAGCAGGAGAGGACTCTTTAAAGTAGAGACACACATACTGATATACACCTGAACATCAGCAGGAGAGGACTCTTTAAAGTAGAGACACTAATAGCAGGAGAGGACTCTTTAAAGTAGAGACACTACATACTGATATACACCTGAACATCAGCAGGAGAGGACTCTTTAAAGTAGAGACACTAAATACTGACATCAATGAATTGAAAAGCAAAAACACACATCCTGTAACAGTTCTGAAGATTTAGCAGCTGTACAAATATTTTGCAAAGTTATTAAATGCATACATATTGCACATATTGCACATAGATGGTATTTAACAACAAGGGGTGTTATGCACTCCAGAGATATCTTTTGTCCTGCTACACGATGGGACTTGTTTTCCTTCTCTGCCGATGATCTTCAAAATCTCCCGAGGACATTTCGCAGTCACATAAATTCTCTGTTAATCCTGCCAACTCATTTAAAGTCCATAAATGATGGCGTTAATTGCTGATGATCCATTTCAAAACGTATAAATCTGTCATCAGAGGCACCATAATACCTCTAAAATCCTGCATTAATTACACAGCCTCTTGCTGGAGATCACGTATTGATGTCTCCTCGTCAATACACCTTATATCTGCTCTTCCTTTCATGCTTTCTCAGATATTTCCCGGTTGAAACATTCCTTATGTCGCCCACTTTTCACTCCTTATCTCCAGCCTTAGGCTATGTTTATGAAACATGAATTCAGACTCGCATCATGTCTGTGTTTATCTACTAAACTGCTGCACTAACCATTTCTGTTGCATTTCCATTTAATGCTATGTATTTACTGTCACCCATCGGTTTACAGGCCTGTTCAGTCCTTGATTTACACACCGTTAGTTTCATGAAGACATTTCCATGTAGCAATACGTGGTCCTAATAGATTTTAACATTTTATAGGAAAATACAACTGAATAGGATGGGAATTGTTCACTTTTGGTATAATCAAATCCAGATATATTGCAGAGAAGGTGTACACTTACAATGATTTGCTTTGCTGTATAATGGGCCATACCTATGCACAATAATCTTCACAATAAGATGAATTAACTTCCAAAAAAAGGGTCCATATAACTATTCTTAATAAAAACTATTAAACAAAGTAAAACATCTAAAGAAATATTCATAAGAAATATAAATATAGTAAGTACAATACCTAAACACAACAACAGGAATTAATTAAAAACGGTATTAAAGGTAAAGAGATATATAAAAAAAGGTTATATAGAACTATTCTTGAAAACTATTATAAAAAGTAAAGAAATGTTCAAAAGAAATAAATCAGACAAAACAAAAACCCTGAAAAATAAAATATGTAAAGTATTGCAGAATTTAAAGTGCATTAAAACGTGTTCTGGGACGTCTCACCGATGAACAATATATTTCATTCATATACCGCTTTTCCTGAATACTTAAAGGGGACCTATCATGCAAAATGCACTTTGTGATGTCTTTTATACATAAAGATGTGTCCCCGGTGTGTCGGGGAACTCACGCAGCGTCAGAAAATAAAACCCTCTCTCTTTTCCTCCGTACCCAAATCTTTAAAAAAACGGGAGAACAACAAGCGGATACAGATTTGCTGCCGATATGACGTCAAATCGGCAGCGGACCCACAGAAAGTTGCTATCAGAAACAATGCCTTACGTGTTTTGGACGTGATCTCGTCTTTGTTTACATTAGCAAGCCTCGCTAACACTCAGAGCTAACCTGNTAGCAGCAGCTCGATTCTGATTGGCTTGAAGGGCGGTCGTGTGATTTAAAAACAATAAAATAAAATAAAATATTAATAAAAATAAAATATTAAAAGATTGGCATCAATGGACACATATATTGATAGATATGCAGTTATTAATAACATCTACAAAAAAAAAAAATGTAACTTTAAAAAAAGAAAGAAATTCCCCTTTCCCTCAAACTTTGCGTGACCCCCCACTTTGAAAAACACTGCTGTAGAGCACATGTGTTTAAAAAGCAGGAAATAAAAAAAGGAACTCACCTTGTGATAAACCTGCAAGNCGGGGGGTTGGGGCCCCCACTTTGAAAAACACTGCTGTAGAGCACATGTGTTTAAAAAGCAGGAAATAAAAAAAGAACTCACCTTGTGATAAACCTGCAAGAGAAAAAGCATTTGAGCTCCATCCTGTTTCAGAAATAATCCTTGATGTGGTTTAGAACAGGATGGCGTTTTATCACAGCAGACTTTATCTCCGGTAGAATTCTGATCAAGCATTAGCTCCGCCTCCTCTCTTTCTTTTTTTTTTAAAGCTAAGGACCCAAAATCCGTGTTTCTGGGGGATGTCTAAATGTGTTTGTATTTTGAGCAAAACACATCATAGACATGTTTTTATATATTTGTATATATCTGAGACCCATAATATATGCCTTAAAATAGCATGATAGGTGCACTTTGTAAAACTGCAAAAGTATAAGCATTCAAATACAATTAAAGTACCAACAATGCTGCATTATTGAAACTAACTAGTTTTTATAGGTGGAGATACCTTTAATGACTTTCAATCCTCCCAGGTATCTTTATCCATCATAATACGTCATAAGTCAAATACATTTTTGTAATATAAATATGAACCTTCAAAGTAACTCATCTTGTCAAATAAATGAAGTGAGTGAAATATACAATATTTTCTTCTAAATCGTAGTGAAGTAGAATCATAAAACATCATACAATGGAAAATCCCAAGTAACTTAAAAAAAAGTACAGCTCTTGAGGAAGTGTACTTAGTTATTTACCAACACTGGTTATGTTTAAGTACAAAAATATTGTTTTTCTTAATGTTAAAGGTAAACACAAACGCATATTATGTGAAGTCAGAATGAACGGGTCACCTTCAGTAACCACCATCAGGAGAGTGTCCTCCGCTCGCGTGTTGATCGTCTCCACCTGGATGGCTCTGCCTGTGATCTGGAGAGGCTGTGGGTCCTGAAATCTCCCGTTGGTCCATGGAAGCAGCAGACAGGCAGCCGTCTGTCTTTCTATGCACACTAACAGGTGGGGAACAGCTGATCGAGTGAAGGGAGTCACACTGAGGACGCTCTCCTCGAAGTCCAGAGTCTGGAAGAGGGTGAAGGAGCTTCCAGTCCAAACAAAGATCTGTGGAAGGAGGCATGACAAGGAAAAAGATTGAGTTCAGTAATATAAGACTGGTAGGATAAGATAAGCTTAGATAAGACAGTCAGCCTCACCTGGCTTGATGCGATCAGATACTCTCTGCCCTCAGAAGAGAAGTGTTTCACATCCAGAGCTTCAACTCCTAAAGTTTGTTCCTAAAGAAATCAGAAGTCAACTTTAATGTCAATCTTACTCAGTTTGTGTTTACAGACAGAGAGATCGAAATGACGTTTCCAACAATCCCGAATTAAAAATTATACTGTATACAGATATGTATAAATATGTATATCCTATACACACAGTCAACAGACACATTTACACATATGCACACATTAAGATAAAAAAAAAACAACAATCAACAAAATAACAGTCACTTCAATATCAATATCTTTGGTGCAAGATTGTCCATAGAATGTGCATTTATTGCAGATTGTCCATAGCAGCGTAAAAAACAATCTTGTGCTGGATTATCATATCACATCATTATAAAACAAGATGGTGGTAACGTATCATAGAAAAATATTATAGTAATGTTGTACCATGATTGGATTTGTACTAACCAGTGTGATATTAAGGTCCATCTGCAGTTTGAAGATGCTGAGGTTGGCAGCAGGGGAGAAGGGGGGGCCACTGTGCGTAATGGCTATGTATGTGGAGCCATTCACTGCAAAACCTACACAAGAGCCCGGGTCCTGGATCCTAACAGACTGTAATAACCAAAGGAGATTAGAAAGAGATTAGCTTGGTGCTCATTTCTAATCAAATGTCCACAATAGTTTACAATTCAGTATAAGTTTCAAGTTCAAGTTTCAAGGCTTTATTGTCATTAGCTACAGTGTAGATATGGCAATGAAAAACTGAGAATGTTTTGAGATGTGCAAGTAAATACAAATAAAATAGATATAAGTACAGTATCTGTACAGAGGCTGTGGCTCAGTGGGATAGTGCGCTGAACTTAGAGCGCTGAACTTTGAATCAGGGGGATAGCAAGTTTGAGTCCCAACATGTTGTTGTGTCCTTAAGCAAGACACTTCACCCCAAATGGCTCCTGTGGGGATTGTCCACAGTACTGAATGTATGTAAGTCTCTTTGGATAAAAGCGTCTAACAAGTGACATGTAATGTAAAGTATCTTCTGCATATTGAGAAACAGAGATGTTGTAAGCCTACCTCTACTGGCACAAAAACTCCCTGCCACCGGTAAAGAGTTGCCAGGCTGTAGGAGGATCCAACACCAGGCCTCCTGTCCAGCCTCATGGCCAGGAAGGAAGGCCCTCCAGGTAGAGAGCACCAAGAAGAGGTGGGGTGATCATCAAAGCTCTGGTACACACCCATCACTGGGAGGTGACCCTCTGTAGGGAAGAAAGGAAAGATACAACAATTATAGCAATATACCTGTCGAGTGTAATGTTCAGGACAAGTTTTTTTTGTTTTATTCTGGTACAGTGGATCTGTGGCTTCTTCCTTGTTTTCCTGTGTGTGTGATTTGCTTGCATACCCTGCAATTGTTTTATACATGTATCTACTACTGTAGCCTCTTATGCTGGACTGCAATCAACACCATTTGTTGTGAGCCTGTTTTGGGGGACGGTGCCCCATGGTACTGGACTCATTTCTGTGAACATATTGATGTAATGTATTGCCTCTGGTGACCTATATGTTGTTTGTTATGTTTTTGTTGTGATGTGTTAAACAATTAAAAATAGAGTATACAAAAAAATTGCTCTTTGAAAGAAAATGTGGATTACAAAGACAACTGAGGACATTAGGGGGATTTATGAGGTGACTTTGAATTGGGACATTTATTAATACTCACCAGAGGCAGTGGCTGTGTCGGACTGCGTCTCCCACTCCACACTGACAGCTGACTCCAGACCATTACTGCGAGACACAGTGAGGAAGACTGCTCTGCCACCTTCATCAGCCACCACTTCTGTGTTGGTTCTGTACAGGAAAAACACATTTAAAGGTTTTACATCAATATATTATAGTTCTCAGATATATACAAAGTATGTCTCTGAAGTGTTTGGAAAATACCAAACAGATCATGCATTGTACCATGCTATAAACCCCTCTGTTTCAGCCCTTTTTCAAAAAATAAAGTGCCACTCCCCACGCCCCTCTGAGAGATATTTGGGTTGCGTTCGAATAGTCCATTTAGCTTAGGAACCTTCCTAACCGAGTGAAAGGACCCGGAAGTCCCTCAGTGGCAGCCATGATAAGTGCTGTTCGAATTCTCTCGTCTAGATGATAGGAAAGGAGGTTTCAAACTTCCTTTATAACCTCCTTTAGCTTAGGAACCACTGGACCTCCCTAACCGAAAGGAGAGGAGAAAATGCTGCCCCACAATGCCTTGCAGCCGC